GCTCAGGGTGGATCACAACGTCACCATACAGTCCGAGCACAACAGCAAGGCCACAAGGCCAGTTCACATGCAAGATCATATATAAAGGTAAACAAGCAAAAGCAGGTATAGAAAGATCACAGTACAAGCAAGGTCAAGAAGTGAGCAAGTGAGGCCAAGTAAGCACAAGACCTAGCATCGTACATAAGCGCTGATGATCACAAGGTGAAAGTGCCTTGGTAAAGATATCAGCATTGTTAGCCTCAGAGGCCAAGTAAGCAAGGCGCAGCTGACCACACTGGGTAGGGCTCACGAGCAAGGAAGTAGCGAAGAGCAATGTGCTTCGTTCTGTGCTCGATTCTGTGCTCCCGACACAAGGCCAGCATGGTCTTGTTGTCTACGTACAGAATTAGAGGAGAACGAGGCGGCTCTCCTAGGTCAGTCAGCAGGTAGGTGAGCCAGCATAGCTCCTCTGCAGCCATGGCCCCCGCGTAGATCTCAGCCTCACAGCTGAAGCCGAGAAAAGAAGACGAGTGGGTAGACCGCCACGAAACAGAGCCGGAGCCAAGGCTGAAGGTGTAACCCTGTGACGACCGCTGCGTAGCCTGGTCGTCAGCCCAAGAAGCGTCTGAGTGACCTGTGAGGACCACAGGACGTCGCCCTCCAAGCATTAGCCCCATGCCCAGCGTACTGCACAAGTAGCGCAACACCCTCTTCGCTGCAGCCATGTGCTCTGGTCGGTGTCTCCTAGGAGCAACATAGCATGTCAAGATGCTAAGAGGCTATGCTAGGTCAGGTCGTGTGCAAGTCATCAGGTACATGAGGCAGCCAAAAAGCTCTGGGTACGGGCCACTCGGCTCTACGGACTCATCCGAAGGCAGAGCTGAGAGCGAGTGGCGAGTAGACCGAGGAGTGGCCTGAGGCAAGGAGTACGTGAAGTCGAAGCGCTGAAGGACCTGCTGCTTCATGTGTGAGTGAGTCAGGGTAATGGTGCGCTGTGCTCTGTCCCAGGTGATCTGCAAGCCAAGATAGCTGCGCAATTCACCCAGGTCTATGCACGTGTGTCTCTTCTGCAGCTCGGACTTCACGTGGGCGAGTCCAGCAGTGTCAGCAGTGGCAAAGACCAAGTCGTTGACATATACGAGGATATAGAACCACGGCAAAGAGGTGTCGGTGCGTAGAAACAGCGATGGGTCGGCAGTAGAGGGAGCAAACCCAAGAGCCGCAAGTGTAGTCCTCAGTGTGTCGTGCCACTCACGAGGCGCCTGGCGGAGACCGTAGACTGACCGCCGGAGGCTCGTAGTCGCGCTGAGCGGCTATGTGCAGCAGCACCCGAAGAGTGGTCATCTTCGGGGTGGGAGAGAAGGTCTGAAAGTAGTCAACTCCCTGCCGCTAACAGAAGCCTCAAGCCACGTAACGCGCCTTGAAGACAGGCGGAGAACCCGGCGGCCGCTTCACCCTGAAAATCCACATGCCACTGACGATGTTCGCCCCAGGTGGGGGAACCTGGTCGACGTAGGTGCCTGTGGACTTCCAGGAAGCCATCTCTGCGTCCATGGCTGACTGCCACTATGAGGAGTAGGGACCCTCGATCGCCTTAGCGTACGATCGAGCAGTCGGGATGTCTGGTGCATCCGGGTCTCCCTCAGGGGCAATCAGCATGGACACAAGATGAGGCAAAGCAGCAGCAAAACACTGGAACTCCTCCTGCCTGTCCTCAAGGACGTCCGTGCTAAGAGCACACTCACCCCCGACGGACAGAGGACAGACAGACTCAGACTCAGCAACGAGACTAGCGACGTAGTCTAGACGGCAGCGAGTAGCAAAGTAGACAAGCTCAGCAACTAAGGCAGACGCTGCAGTGGACTCAAAGGAAGGGTCAGTGACAGCAGTGGCCAGGAGACGCGTGACAGTAGGACTGGCAGCACGAAGAGAGTCAGACGCTGGGTCAGCAAGAAGAGGAAGAGAGGACTCTGGAGGAGACTGCAACGGGAGACGCAGAGGAGTAGTGGAAGGGCGCAGTGCCATCTGGTGTGTGGCTGGGACCGTAGGAGGACGCGGACGCGGAGCACGACCACTAGTGCGAGCAGCACGAACAGGCGACGCAGGACAAGACGCAGGCTCACTACGCTCAGCAAGACCTCCAGTAGGACCAGTGTAGGGAGGAGCAGGTAGGGGGGAGGCGGGCTGTAACTATGACCGCGACTGGACAGGCTGTGGACACTCTAAGGGAGGAGCAGGTCCAGTAGAGGGCAGGAGACCAAGAACCTGCTCAAGGAGCGGAACGAAGTACGGCCTCGGCCGCGCAGTGCCTCCAGAACCAGCAGGGACACCACCAGTACCCCCAGCGGCAGCACCAGCGCCAGCAGCACCTCCAACTCCAACAAGGCCAACTCCAGCACCCTCAGAAGCACCAGCGCTAGCAGTACCACTAGCGCCAACACCCCCAGCAGCTCCAGCAGCACCAACTCCAGCAGGACCGTCAGCTCCAGCAACGGCAGAAGCTCTAGTAGTACCTCCAGCAGGACTAACGCCACCAGCCCCAGCAGCACACACAACCCCAGGAGCTCCAGTACCGCCAGTACGAGCACCTCCAGGACCAGCAGCAACAGTAGTACCTCCTGCTCCAGCAGCACAGCTCCAGCGCCGGGCAAACCACTCGTGCAACTCCTCCGGAGAGAGTAGCTCCCGCCTCGACGAAGCACCGCCAGAGGCCACACAAGCAGACCCAGCAAACCAAGGCTCCGCAACCCCAGGCTCCAAACCCCTAGGCTCAGCACCCCTAGACTCAGCACACCCAGGCTCAGCACCCCTGGACTGAACACCCCAAGGCTCCCCACCCCCAGGCTCAGCACCTCCAGACCCGGCACCCGCAGACTCAGCGCCCCTAGCAGCACCAGAGTCAACAGCTACCTCGACAGGCTCGATTGCGTCTACCTAAGACACACCTGACGGGGCAGGACTGTGAGGGGGGAGAGGATCTACCAGGGGAGGACCTGGCGCTAGGAAGAGCGGCGGAGGGGGTAGGGGCGCAGTGCGGTAGGGGAAGAGACGGTAGTAAGGCACCGACTCGTTAAAGGTAACGTCCTGGGAGGACAGAACATGGCGCGAGGTTGGGGTGGTAAAACTGGCAACCAGGCGCGTCAGGGGGGAAGCCAAGGAAGATGCAGGGAACAGCACGGGGGGACAGCTTGTCCGCAAACAAGTCGCGGACAAACGCCTCGGATCCCCAGACCTGAAACGCAGACGCATCGCCAACCTTCCCCGTCCACCGCAAGGTGGGGGAGGTCTTTGGCAAGGAGACCCCGGGCTGAAGGTTGAGCTGATGCGCTGCGTACTGAACCGCAAACGGCCACAGAAAATGGGATGCAGCCGCATGGATCATGGACGTATGAGCGACGTCCATGACCATGCCAATGCGGCGCTCAGCAATCCCATTTTGCTGTGGAGAGGCTGGAAGCGTGAAGGTCTGGCGGATGCCCTGTGCACGACAGAAGGCTCCCAGACAGGCAGAGGAAAACTCCCTGCCTCTGTCAGAGTGCAGACGCAGAACTGGAAACTCCGAGCCGAAACTCTCTCTGAGCTGGAGACGAGCCGTGCAGATCCAATCGATCAACACCTCAGTGACGTCACCCTTGCTGCGTAAGGGGAACACCGTGGTGTAACGCGAGTAGTCGTCAACCACCAACAGGAAGTAACGCTCGTGACCCTGGCCACAGACGCGGACGGGGCCCCACACGTCCATGTGAAGAGTCTGCAGGGGAGCCTCTGTCGGAGGAAACTCGGAGGAGTGAGCGGCGGCGCGCTGCCGCCCCTCAACGCAGGGAACGCTGATAGGGGCAGGCCCTGGAGGGAGGGGAGGGAGGGTCCGGGAAAGACTAGAGACAAGGGCACGGGAGGCCATGCCTCCGAGACAAGGCAGGGAGGGGTGACCAAGGCGGTGGTGCCAAAGGAAAGTCTGGTGGGACAGGAGACGACACGACCAGGGAGCAGACTCACGACCAGACCTGGATGATGCAGCAAACACCTGACTCGATGCAGCAACCTGACCAGATGCAGCAACCGGAGGAGACTCAGTAGTCAGTGTGTACAGGCTTGACCCCGGCCGACGGGTAGACGTGGCCAAGTGTCGGCCCGTCCGAGCACACGTACAGTGGGTCACCCGATGACTCGCAGGAGTGAACTGGTCAACCCCCCGATCCTGTAGATCAGCACCACTCACCAAGTTCGTAGAGTATGAGGGGAGGTAGAGACCTGACAGGGTGCCAGAGGGGGCTGCCGGACATGGTAAGACAGTGGAGAAGCTAGCAAGGACAGGACCCCCAGAGGGGTCCGCCAGGGAGACCGCAACCGGCCGACTTAGCGGCGTAAGCGTGGTGCAGTCTCGAAAGAAGGAGCGGAAGCACCCGAGTCAAGGGTGAACGTGTGTAAGGCCTGAGCCGACGTGGTACCTGAGAGAGCAGACTCACCAGCACCTGGGGCAGCAGACGCACTAGCACCTAGAGCAGCAGCCTCACCAGCACCTAGAGCAGGAGCCTCAATGCCCGGGTCAGGCGGAACACACAGGTAACAGTCACCCTCATCACTAGTAGGCAATGCATACATGGCAGTGAGGATAGCATCATAGTCAAGAGTATAGACATCTACCCGCAGCCTAAGCATCTCCACCCAGTCGGGGAGCTCAGCCGCGTCGCCAAACTCCGTACGCGAGGCGTCGTCAGACGTGCGAAGCAGCGGGACTCTGCGTGACCAAACGTCCCGCAAGACTGACCAATCCGAGCATGAGTGCGAATGACGTACGGACAGCGAGTAGTACCCCGTGGCCTGTCACGCTGAGCGTACCACTCACGAAGCTGCTGGGGCGAGAGGACCGCGCACGGAAGACGCTGCAGCTGCACCTGGCCACTACAAGCAGCTGCCGAACTACTAACTCCAGGATGACTCCCACTACGGCCACCCCTATAACCCCAACTAGCGTACCACTCACGAAGCTGTTGGGGGGTGAGTGACTCACGCGGACGATGCTGGAGCTGCATCTGGCCACGCCAGGAGCAGCAGTAGTAGTAGAAAGAGTAGTAGCAGCAAGAGCAGCAGTAACAGCAGTACGGGCAGGGCAGTGCTCACCAGTGGCGAGAAGGGCAGGCGTACGATGGCGGCAACGGCGAGGTCGCTACCACTGTAGGGCGAGGGCTCCGCGGCAGCTGCAGGGGCGGCTTCTCCAGGGGCGGTAGTTGTAGGGGCGGCTACTCCAGGGGCGGCTGCTCCAGGGGCGGCTGCTTCAGGGGCGGCTGCTCCAGGGGTGGCTGCTGCAGGGGAGGCTGCTCCAGGGGCGGCTGCTGCAGGGGCGGCAGCTCTTGGGGAGGCTGCTGTAGTGGCGGCAGCTCTAGGGGCGGCTACTTCAGAGGCAGCTGCTCCAGGGGCGGCTGCTGCAGTGGTGGCTGCTCCAGGGGCGGCTACTGCAGGGGCGGCTGCTCCAGGGGTGGCTGCTGTAGGGGCGGTTGCTGCAGGGGCGGCTGTTGCAGGGGCGGCTGCTGCAGGGGCGGCTGCTCCAGTGGCGGCTGCTCCAGGGGCGGCTGCTGCAGGGGCGGCTGCTGCAGTGGCGGCTGCTCCATGGGCGGCTGCTGCAGGGGCGGCTGCTCCAGGGTCGGCTGCTGCAGTGGCGGCTGCTCCAGGGGCGGCTGCTGCAATGGCGGCTGATCTTGGGGCGGCTGCTGCAGTGGCGGCTGCTCCATGGGCGGCTGCTGCAGTGGCGGCTGCTCCAGGGGCGGCTGCTGAAGGGGCGGCTGCTCCAGGGGCGGCTGCTACAGGGGTGGCTGCTCCAGAGTCGGCTGCTGCAGTGGCGGCTGCTCTAGGGGCGGGTTAGGGCAGGACGCCGCGGCGGGCAGGGGAGACGCCACGCGGGTCCCGCAGGGGTGTCGCGACGCACAGGAGCCGCGCCCTGTGGGTCCCGCAGGGGCGACGCGACGAGGCGGGGGCGACGCGGCGGGGCCGCGACTGGCGACGGGGCGAGGTCGCGAAGGGGCCGCGAAGGGAGCCGTGAGGGGGGGCCACGAAGGGGCCACGAAGGGGCCTCGAGGGGGGCCGCGATGGGGCCATGAAGGGGTCGCAAAGGGAGCCGTGAGGGGGGGCCGCGAGGGGGGCCGTGAAGGGGCCGCAAAGGGGCTGCGAAGGGGCCACGAAGGGGCCGCGAGGGGGCCGCGAGGGGGGGGGCGCGAAGGGGCCGCGAGGGGGCCGTGAAGGGGCCGCGAAGGGGCCATGAAGGGGCCGTGAAGGGGCCGTGAAGGTGCCGCAAAGGGGCCGTGAAGGGGCCGCGAAGGGGCCACGAAGGGAGGCCGCGAAGGGGCCGCGAAGGGGCTGCAAGGGGGCCGTGAAGGGGCCGCGAAGGGGCCGTGAAGGGGCCGTGAAGGGGCCGTGAAGGTGCCGCGAAGGGGCCATGAAGGGGCCATGAAGGGGCCGTGAAGGGGCCGTGAAAGGGCCGTGAAGGTGCCGCAAAGGGGCCGTGAAGGGGTCCTGAAGGGGCCGTGAAGGTGCCGCGAAGGGACCGTGAAGGGGCCGCAAAGGGGCCGCGAAGGGAGGCCGCGAAGGGGCCACGAGGGGCCTGAAGGGGCCGCGAAGGGCCGTGAGAGGGGCCGTGAGAGGCCGTGAGAGGGGCCGCTATGGGGCCGTAGGGGAGCGCGACGGACCACTAAGGGCAGGGGACGCGACGGAAGGGTAGGCACACGGGGCGCGACTCGGGCAGGGGCGAAGCGCGCCCCGGGCAGAACGATATTCGGTGGGCCCTAGGAAACGTTCCCACTAGGGAACCTGCTCTATACCATGTGAAAGAACGAGGAATAAATGAACTAGCAAGCAGGTGGGTACAAGTAGGAAAACCTAAAAGTGTTGTACCCCATATTGTCTACCCCACTACAGCCTACACAGACTATCGCATATGCGTTTGACACACCCCCATAGGCAAAGTGGGGGAGAACAAGGGGTCACAAGACCAGCCTACACAGACTATAGCATATGAGTTTGACAGACAGGGCCGCGACGGCACGGACTGCGGCGTCTCGGCTGCGGTGGCGTGGCGGCTTGACCGCTCGGCTGCAGGGCGGCTCGGCGGCTCGGCAGCTCGGGGGCTCGGCGGCTCGGCAGCACGGCGGCTCGGCGGCTCGGCAGCTCGGCGGCACAGCGGCAAGGGCGGCTTGGCGGCTCGGCGGTGACGGCGGCTCGGCTGCTCGTCGGGGCCGGGAAGGGCGGCTGAGGGGGCCGAGGAAGGGCGGCAGGGCCGCGAAGGGGCGGCAACGAGGCCGCTGAAGGGCGGCGACGAGGCCGCTGAGGGGCAGCGACGAGGCCGCTGAAGGGCGGCGACGAGGCCGCGAAAGGGCGGCGACGGGGCCGCGGAAGGGCGGCAATGGGGCCGCTGAAGGGCGGCGACGAGGCCGAAAGGGGCGGCGACGGGGCCGTAAGGGGCAGCGACGGGGCCGTAAGGGGCGGCGACGGGGCCTTAAGGGGCGGCGACGAGGCCGTAAGGGGCGGTCGCGGGGCCGTGAGGGGCGGCAACGGGGCCGTAAGGGGCGGTCGCGGGGCCGTGAGGGGCGGCGACGGGGCCGTAAGGGGCGGCGACGGGGCCGTAAGGGGCGGCGATGGGGCCTTAAGGGGCAGCGACGGGGCCGTAAGGGGCGGTCGCAGGGCCGTGAGTGGCGGCGACGGGGCCGTAAGGGGCGGTCGCGGGGCCGTGAGGGGCGGCGACGAGGCCGTAAGGGGCGGTCGCGGGGCCGTGAGGGGCGGCGACGGGGCCGTAAGGTCGCGGGGCCGTGAGGGGCGGCGACGGGGCCGTAAGGGGCGGTCGCGGGGCCGTGAGGGGCGGCGACGGGGCTGTAAGGGGTGGTCGCGGGGCCGTAAGGGGCGGCGACTCTAGGCGCGCTACGGGCAGGGGCGGCACGCGCCCCGGGTAGGAAAAAAAATATTGGTGGGCCGTAGGAACAGTTCCCACGAGGGAACCTGCTCGATACCATGAGAAACTTAGAACGAGAATGGATTGACTAAGGAATGAAAGTGATACAAATATGAAACCCTAGAATTGTGTACCCCTTAGTATCTAACCCGCTGCAGCCTACACAGGCTAGATCATATAAGTTTGACACTCTCCTCTCACAGTCCCTCCTCCTCCTCCTCACATGCCCTCTGTGACTACCTCTAGCTTTGCTTGCAATTGTGAACCTGCTCTATGACTACGTGCTCTGCTGATTACACCCCACTTTGCCTATGGGAGTGTGTCAAAATATTGTATTTGTCTACCCTGCAGTGGGGTACTCTATAGCAAGTACAATCCAATCTAGGGTTTTTTATATGTACTCAACTGCCTGCTAGTGCAACCTCTCTTTCTTGTTCTAAACTTTCTGCTCGTACTTCTGATAAAGGCGTATATGGTTCTTTTAAAAAAAATGGAACATGTATTTCTAAAGAGGTGTATCTTTCCCACATGAAAAAAAAAGGCCAACGTTGCAGTAATTACAAAACTTATAAGCCTGATGCCCTTTCGCGGAAAGTTTTTTTTAATCATTTTGCAAGTTCGCAACCATACTATCAAAAATATGATTTGAACCGTTTTTGTACGAGCCATATATATATATATATAGATATATATATATATACTTTGAAACTTCTTGGTCCGTGGTGTTAGACTAAACAGGGTCCTTCAAAGTCGCGGCGGGACTTGTTCTAGAAATATAAAAATGTGCGTAAAGGCTTTCAAACTCGATAAACTCCTCAATTTCAGGATCATTTCGGCGGGAGTTTCATGTAGTTACCATTCGTGTGATGGGCTACTTGTGTCTAGTTACCATACGAGTTAAGCGAGTTACCAAACATGTTAAGCGAGTTACCAAACGCGTTAAGCAAGTTACCAAACGCGTTGAAATCGTTACTGTACGCATTATACTGCCCCATGCAAGTTACCATTGACATATTCTCCCTACGATCAATATACAACCTTCAACCTTCGTAGGGTCGCGGTCGCGAATCACGAGGCCCCAAGTTGGCCATCTTTCTGCTACTGTAATCCGAGGCCCCATTATGATCATTCCCCATTTCCGTGCACGGCTCGGTACATGTTTTCGTACTGTAATGGGAAGGGAAGAGTATGGGTGTGAGTGGAGGAAAAGAGCGAGGAAGACCCCGGGCCACAACTTCGATTGTGGTGTGAGAGGGGGAATACGCCTGATGCAATTGCGGGCAGATTTCAAAGGTGTGTTTCAGTATGGTTTGGTGCGTTTTCGTGTGGTTTGGTGCGTGCATTGTCAATTCATTCAGGTCTTGCTCGACAGCTGTAGCAATTGTCAGACCATTGTCAAATTATAATGTTATGTAGGCTATAGTGGGGTAGCCCATATCGGGTACACATTTCTAGGGTTGCATATTTGTAACACTTTCATCCCATAGTCATTCATTCTCGTTCTAATTCTGTCATGGTATCGAGCAGGTTCCCCCGTGGGAACTGTGCCTAGGGCCCACCACATCGAGTTTTTTTTTCCTGCCCGAAGAGCGCTCAGCCCGAGTCGCGCTCCGGGCTCTCACTTCGTCGAGCCGCCCTAGCGGCCCCAACGCCCTAGCGGCCCATCGCCCTAGCGGCCCCAACGCCCGTCGATTCGGCCCTGCCGCCCTTCGCTGCGGCCCCGCCGCCCTTCGCTGCGGCCCCGCCGCCCTTCGCTGCGGCCCCGCAGCCCTTCACTACGGCCCCGCTGGTCTTCGCTGCGGCCCCGCCGCCTCACACTGCAGCCCCGCCGCCCTTCGCTGCGGCCCCGCCGCCCTTCGCTGCGGCCCCGCCGCCCGTCTCAGCGGCCCCGCCGCCCTTCGCTGCGGCCCCGCCGCCTCTCTCGCTGCAGCCCCGCCACCCTTCTCAGCGGCCCCGCCGCCCTTCTCTACGGCCCCGCCGCCTCTCTCACTGCGGCCCCGCCGCCCTTCTCAGCGGCCCCGCTGCCCTTCACGGCGGCCACACCACCCTTCACTGCGGCCCCGCCGCCCCTCCCACTGCGGCCCCGCCACCTACCTTGCGGCCCCGCCGCCCTACCAGCGGCCCTGCCGCCCTCCACCGCCCGCCCCGCCCGAGCCGCCCGACCCGTCCGAGCCGCCCGACCAGCCCAAGCCGCTCGAGCCGCCTGAGCCGCTGAGGAGCCGAGCCGCCCGAGCCGCCCGAGCTGCCCGAGCCCGCTTGGCCCCGCTTAGGCCCCGTCGGCCCCACTTCGGCCCCACTGCAGCCCCACTGCGGCCCCATTAAGGCCCCTGCTACGGCCCCGTCCCGACCGCCCGAGTCGCCCAGCAACCAAGCCGCCAGGCAGCCGAGCCGCCCAGCAGCCGAGCCGCCCGCCAGCCGAGCCGCCCGACAGCCGAGCCGCCCAGCACCGTGCAGCCGAGCCGCCCAGCAGCCGAGCCGCCCAGCAGCCGAGCCGCTCAGCAGCCGAGCCGCCCGTGCAGCCGAGCCGCCCGGGAGCCGAGCCGCCCTGCAGCCGAGCCGCCAAGCAGCCCGATCACCCCACCTGCCTAGTAAGAGCTCAGTCCCTGACTCCCTGCGCTCACTGCCTGCCTACTGCTATTATGGCTTCCCCTAGCGTTCTCACTTTTGACACTGATGGTGGGGCAGTGGACTTTGAGGTCTGGGTAGATGATCTACAGCTTTTTCTGCAGTGCGATAGGGCAGACGGCCTCTCCCTCTTTGACCTCACTTCTGGTGCCTCCCCTGCCCCTGCTGCTAATGCTGACGCCACTGTTCGCTCCCAGTGGGCCACACGTGATGCTGCTTCTCGCCTTGCTGTTCGCCGCCACTTACCGACCACTGAGCGTGCGCACTTTAGCCAGTACAAGAGTGCTCAGACCTTGTACGACGCTGTAGTTGCACGCTACTCTTCCCCTGCCACTGCTGCACTGAGCCGCCTCATGCTTCCCTTCCTCTTCCCTGACCTTGCTGCCTTTCCAACTGTCGCTGACCTCATTACGCACCTCCGCACTCTTGACACTCGCTACCGCGCTGTGCTTCCTCCTGAGTTCTCCGCCAAGAGCCCCCCCCCCCATGTATATCACCCTCTACTACATAGTCACCCGGCTCCCTGACTCTCTTCGCGTAGTCAGGGACCACTTCCTCTCTGTTTGCCCCACCACTCTCACCGTTGACCTCCTCGAGAAGGCCCTCTTAGCAATACAGAAGAGCATAGTCGCTGTAGGAGCCTCTCGTGGTGACCCTCGCACCCCCGTCTTTGAGGGGTGTTCTACCTCCCCCCTCTTGCCCTCTGTCGCCTCTGCTGCTGCGGCTGACCTCGTTGGTTTCGAGTCGGTCGGCACTGCGTCTGCTCCGAGTGGGAGACGCCGCACCGGCAAGGGCGAGGGGGGCAAGGGCTCTGGAGGGGGTGGAGGGGGCGGTGGAGGTGGTGGTGGAGGCGTTGGAGGGAGTGGGGGTGGTGGTGGGAGAGGTGCCGGGGGTGGTGGTGGCAGCAGTCAGCAGTAGAGGCGGCAGAGGCGGTGGAGATGGCGGAGGGAGCGGAGGCAGCGGAGGTAGTGGAGGCGGCGGAGGTGGAGGAGGCGGCGGAGGCGGCGGTGGCGGCGGCGGCAGCGGCGGTGGTGGTGGTGCGAGTCGCGACTCTGCACCGAGGAGTGGCTCCGGTGGTGGTCAGCGCCAGCAGCAGCAGCAGAGCGGTGTGACCATGTCCCCTCAGCAGCTTCGTGAGCGGTACACTGCACGCCAGCGAGGTGGGGGTTTTGGTCCCTACTCCTACGTTCTCCGTACCGGCGACCGCACGGGTGAGCAGTGCGGAGGTCCGCACTACACCCAGCGCTGCTTTGGTCGCCTGACGGACGCGTGGCGTCGCGAGTTCCCTGAGGCGTCAGAGATCCCTCGCTGGGGAGATCTGGCCAAGGCCGGGGTTGCTATCTTTGATCTTGACTTTGATGCAATTCTTGCTGCCATGTATGCTGTTGCTGATAGTGTTGAGGGTGCCTGTTACCTGTGTGTACCGCATGACCCGGGCATTGAGGCTACTGCGATAGGTGCTGGTGAGACTGCTGCTCTTTGTGCTAGTGCGTCTGCACCCTCTGGTGCTGGTGAGTCTGCTCTCTCAGGTACTACTTCGGCTTAGGCCCTCCACACCTTCACCCTGGACTCGCGTGCATCCCGTTCCTTCTTTCGAGACCGCACCACTCTTACGCTGCTTAGTCGGCCGGTTGCAATCTCCCTGGCAGACCCCTCTGGGGGTCCTGTCCTTGCTAGCTTTTCCACTGTCCTTCGTGCCCTGCAGCCCCCTCTGGCACCCTGTCTGGACTCTACCTCCCCTCGTTCTCTGCGAAAGTGGTGAGTGGAGCGGACCTATAGGATCGAGGGGTTGACCAGTTCACTCCAGCGAGTCAGCGACTGACCTACTGCACGTGTGCTCGGACAGGTCGACACCTGGCGACGTTTACACGTCGGCCAGGGTCGAGCCTGCACACCCTTACTACTGAGTCTCCTTCCCTGCATCCGCCAGACCTTCACGCTTCCGGACTCTCCAGAGCAAAATGGGATTGCTGAGCGCCGCATTGGCATAGTCATGGACGTCGCTCGTACGTCCATGATGCATGCGGCTGCCCCCCATTTCTTGTGGCCGTTTGCAGTTCAGTACGCCGCGCATCAGCTCAACCTGTAGCCCCGGGTCTCCTTGCCAGAGACCTCCCCCACCTTGCGGTGGACCAGGAAGGTTGGCGATGCGTCTGCGTTTCGGGTCAGGGGATCTCGGGCGTTTGTCCGCGACTCGTCTGCGAACAAGCTGTCCCCCCTTGCTGTTCCCTGCGTCTTCCTTGGCTTCCCCCCCGACGCGCCTAGCTGGCGGTTTTACCACCCCACCTCGCGCCGTGTTCTGTCCTCCCTGGACGTCACCTTTGACGAGTCGGTGCTTTACTACCGTCTCTTCCCCTACCGCACTGCGCCCCTCCCCCCATCTACTGTCTCCGCTAGGTGCCCCGTGAGTGGCACGACACACTGAGGACTACACTTGCGGCTCTTGGGTTTGCTCCTTCTACAACCGACCCGTCGCTGTTTCTACGCACCGACACCTCCTTGCCGCCGTTCTACATCCTCGTGTACATCGACGACCAGGCTGCTCTCCTAGGTCAGTCGGAAGGTAGGTGAGCCAGCGTAGCTCCTGTGCAGCCATGGACCCTGCGTAGATCTCAGCCTCACAGCTGGAGCCGAGAACAGAGGACGAGCGGGTAGACCACCACAAAACAGAGCCTGAGCCAAGGCTGAAGGTGTAACCGTGTGACGACCGCTGCATAGCCTGGTCATTCGCTCAAGAAGCGTCTGCGTGCCCAATGAGGACCACTGGACTCTGCCCTCTAAGCACAAGCCCCATGCCCCACGTACTGCACAAGTAGCGCAACACCCTCTTCGTTGCAGCCATGTGCTCTGGTCGGTGTCTCCCATGAGCAACATAGCGTGCCAAGATGCTAAGAGGGTATGCAAGGTCAGGTTGAGTGCAGGTCATCAGGTACATGAGACAGCCAACAAGCTCTGGGTACGGGCCACTCGACTCTACGGACTCATCCGAAGGCAGAGCTGAGAGTGAGTGGCGAGTAGACAGAGGAGTGGCTTGAGGCGAGGAGTACGTGAAGCCGAAGCGCTGAAGGATCTGCCGCACCATGTGTGACTGAGTTAGGGTAATGGTGCGACGTGCTACGTCCTGGGTGATCTGCAAGCCAAGGTAGCTGCGCAGTTCACATAGGTCTCTGCACGTGTGTCTCTTCTGCAGCTCGGACTTCACGTGGGCGAGTCCAGCACTGTCAGCTGTGGCAAAGACCAAGTCGTAGACTTACACGAGGATGTAGAACGGCGGCAAAGAAGTGTCGGTGCGCAGAAATAGCGACGAGTTGGCGGTAGAGGGAGAAAACCCAAGAGCCGCAAGTGTAGTCCTCAGTGTGTCGTGCCACTCACGCGGTGCCTGGCGGAGACCGTAGACTGGCCGCCGGAGGCTCCACTGGGTGCCAGGAGGAAAATTCCGAGTGAAGCCAGGTGGGCGGCGCAGCCAGATCTCCTCCTGCAGGCTACCCTGCAAGAAAGCAGTGCTTAAGTCAAGAGACTGAAGCTCGTAGTCGCACTGAGCGGCTTTGTGCAGCAGCACCCGAAGAGTGGTCATCTTCGGGGTGGGAGAGAAGGTCTGAAACTACTCAACTCCCTGCCGCTGACTGAAGCCACGAGCTACGTACCGCGCCCTGAAGACAGGTGGAGAACCTGGCGGCCGCTTCACCCTGAATATCCACATGCCACTGACGATGTTCGCCCCAGGCGGGGGAACCGCGTCAACGTAGGTGCCTGTTAACTTCCAGGAAGCCATCTCTGCGTCCATAGCTGCCTGCCACTAAGAGGAGTAGGGACCCTCTACGGCCTCCGCGTAAGAACGCGGAGTCGGGATGTCAAGTGCATCCGGGTCTCCCTCAGGGGTAAGCAGTACGGACACGAGATGAGGTGAAGCAGCTGCCAGACACTGGAACTCCTCCTGCCTGTCCTCAAGGACATCTCTGCCAAGAGCACACTTACCCCCGACGGACGGAGGACAGACAGACGCAGACTCAGCAACAAGACTAGCAGCGTAGTCTAGACGACAGCGAGCAGCAAAGTCGACGAGCTCAGCAACTAGGGCAGACGCAGCAGTGGACTCAAAGGAAGGGTTAGTGACGACAGTAGCAAGGAGACGCGTGACAGTAGGACTGGCAGCACGAAGAGAGTCCGACTCTGGGTCGGCAAGAGGAGAAAGAGAAGACTTAGGAGGAGAAGGCAAAGGGACACGTAGAGGAGCAGTGGACGGACGCAAGGACATCCGGTGCGTGCCAGGGACAGGAGGAGGACGCTGACGCGAACCGCGACCACTAGTGCGACCAGCACGAACAGGCGACGCAGGACGAGATGCAGGCTCACGACGCTCAACAAGACCTCCAGTAGGACCAGTGTAGGGAGAAAGAGCAGGCAGTGGGGAGGCTGGCGGTAGCTGTGACTGTGATTGGACAGGCTGTGGACACTCTAAGGAAGGAGGAGGACCAAGAACCTGCTGAAGGAGCGGAACGAAGTACGGCCGAGGCCGCGCGGCGACTCCAGACACAGCGCCAACAGCACCTCCAGCTGTAGTACTTCCAACAGCACCAGGAGCACCCCCAGCAGGACCTCCGCCAGGACTGACAGCAGTAGCCTCAGCGCCAACATCCTCAGCACCTCCAGCTCTAGTCGTACCCGCAGGCCCAGCAGCTCCAGTACTCCCAGTACGAGCACCTCTGGGACCCGCGGCACCAGCACCCTTAGCAGCCTAAGAATCTCCAGCTCCAGTAGTACGCCTCCAGCGTCAGGCAAACCACTCGCGCAGCTCGTGTGAAGAGAGTGGCTCCCGCCGAGACGAAGCACCCGGAGAACCTCCGGGCCCAGCACCGCCAGACGCCACACGAGCAGGCCCAGCGGCCGCAGGCTCCGCACCTCCAGGCTCAGCAGCTTCAGACGTAGCACCCCCATGCTCAGCACCCCCAGGCGTAGCACACCAAGGCTTAGCACCCCCAGGCGTAGCACCCCCAGGCACAGCACCCCAAAACTCAGCACCCATAGTCGCAGCACCCCCAGGCTCAGCACCCCTAGTAGTACCACCCGCACGCCGAGTACCCCCAGGCGTAGCACCCACACGCTCAGCACCCCCAGAGTCAGCACCCCAAGGCTTAGCACCCCCAGGCTCACCACCCCCAGCAGCACCAGAGTGACCAGTAACCTCGACAGGCTCGACTGCGTCTACCTAGGACACACCTGAAGGGGCAGGACCCTGAGGGGGGACCTGGTACAAGGAAGAGTGGTGGTGGGGGGAGGGACGGAGTGCAGTAGGGGAAAAGACGGTAGTAGGGGACAGACTCGTCAAACGTGACGTCCTGGGAGGACAGAACACGGCGAATGGTAGGGTGGTAGAACTGTCACCTTGGCGCGTCAGGGGGGAAGCCAAGGAAGACGAATTAAGCAGCACGAGGGGACAGTTTGTCCGCAGACAAGTCGCGGACAAACACTCGAGATCCCCAGACACGGAACGCAGACGCATCGCCAACCTTCCCCGTCCACAGCAAAGCTGGGGAGGTCTCTGGCATGGAGACCGTGGGGTGAAGGTTGATCTGATGCGCCGCGCACTGAACCGCAAACGGCCACAGAAAATGGGGGGCAGCCGCATGCATCATGGACGTACGAGCGACGTCCTTGACCATGCCAATGCGGCGCTCTGCAATCCCATTTTGCTGTGGAGAGTCCGGAAGCGTGAAGGTCTGACGGATGCCTCATGCACGACAGTAGGCTCGCAAAAGGCCAGAGGAGAACTCTCCACCTCGGTCAGAGTGCAGACGCAGAAGAGGAAAGTCCAAGCCAAAGCTCCTCTTGAGTTGGAGACGAGCTGCACGGATCCAGTCGATCAACACCTCAGTGACATCACTCTTGCTGCGCAAGGGGAAGACTGTGGTGTAACGCGAGTAGTCCTCAACCACCAGCAAGAAGTAGCACTTGTGACCCTGTCCACGGACGCGGGCCGGGCCCCACACGTCCATGTGAAGCATCTGCAGCGGGGCCTCTGTCGGAGGAAACTGGGAGGAGTGAGGGGCAGCCCGCTGCCGCCCCTCAACACAGAGGACGCAGGTGGGGCCAGGCCCCAGAGGAAGGGGAGGGAGGGACCGGAGAAGACCACACACAAGGACATTGGAGGCCATGCCTCGGAGACGAAGCAGGGAGGGGTGACCAAGACGGTGGTGCCAAAGGAGAGTCTCGTAGGACAGGAGGCGACACGAGCAGGGGGCAGACTCAGGACCAGACCTGGAAGCTGCAGCAAACACCTGACCCGACGCAGCTACCTGACCAGACGAAGTGACAGGAGGAGACTCAGTGGTCAGTGTGTACAGGCTCGACCCCGGCCGACGTGTAAACGTGGCCATGTTCCGGCCTATGCGAGCCTCCGTGGAGTGGGTCACCCGCTGACTCGCAGGAGTGAACTGGTGAACCCCCGCATCCTGTAGGTCAGCACCACTCACCAAGTTCGTAGAGAACGAGGGGAAGTAAATTCCAGATAAGGTGCCAGAGGGGGCCGCCGGACACGGGAGGACAGTGGAGAAGTGAGAAAGGACAGGACCCCATGAGGGGTATGCCAGAGAGACTGCAACTAGCTGACTAAGCGGCGCGAGTGTGGTGCGGTCTCGAAAGAAGGAGCGAGAAGCCCGGGACTCAAGAGTAAAAGTGAGAGAGGCCGAAGCCCACGCGGTACTTGAGAGAGCAGACTCACCAGCACCTGAGGAAGCAGACGCACTGGCACCTAGAGCAGTAGCCTCGCTAGCACCTAGAGCAACAGCCTCACCAGTACCTAAAGCAGCAGTCCCAATACCCGGGTCGGGCGGAAAACACCGGTAACAGTCACCCTCATCACTAATAGTCACAGCATACATGGCAGCAAGAATAGCATCAAATTCGAGATCAAAGATAGCTACTCCAGCCCTAGACAGCTCACCCCAGTAGGGGATCTCAGTGGCCTTCGGGAACTGGTGATGCCAAGCGTTCGTCAGGCGGCCAAAGCAGCGTTGGGTGGGGTGTGCACGCCCACACTGCTCATCTGCGCGGTCGCCGGTGCGTAGGACGTAGGTGCACGGACCAGTACCCCCACCCCGCTGACGTGCAGCGTACCACTCACGGAGCTGGTGAGGGGGGGGGGATGTCACAAGAGCGCTGCTGCTGCTGCTGGCGCTGACCACCACCGGAGCCGGCCTTTTGCGCAGCGCCACCCCGACCAGCTCCACCTCCTCCGCCACCGCCTCCTCCACCGCCTCCACCTCCGCCACCTCCGCCCCCACCGCTACCGCCGCCGCCGCCTCCACCTCCACTGCCGCCACCGACACCTCCACCCCCGCTGCCACCCCCACCGCCACCCCCACTCCCTCCGCCGCCTCCACCGCCTCCTCCACCGCCCCCGCTAGCCCCTCCAGTGCCCTTGCCCCCCTTGCCCTTGCCAGAGCGACGTCTCCCGCTAGGGGTAGACGCCGCACCGACCGACTCAAGACCAACGAGGTCGCCCGCAGTAGCAGAGGTGATAGTGGGCAAAAGGGGGGAGGGGGAACACCCCTCAAAGATGGGGGTGCGAGGGTCACCACGAGACGCTCCTACAGCGACTATGCTCTTCTCCGCTGCCAAGAGGGCCTTCTCAAGGAGGTCAACAGTGAGAGTGGTGGGACAGACTGAGAGGAGGTGGTCCCTGACTACATGAAGGGGGTCAAGGAGGCGGGTGACTATGTAGTAGAGAACGATGTACATGGGGGGGGGGTTCTTGGCGCAGAATTCAGCAGGAAGCGCAGCGCGGAAGCGAGTGTCACTAGTGCGGAGGTGCGTAATGAGGTCAGCGACTGTGGGAAAGGTAGCAAGGTCAGGAAAGAGGTACGGTAGCATGAGGCGGCTCAGTGCAGCAGTGGCAGGGGAGGAATAGCGTGCAACTACAGCGTTGTACAAGGTCTGAGCACTCTTGTACTGGCTAAAGTGCGCACGCTCAGAGGTAGGCAGGTGGCGACGCACAGCAAGACGTGCAGCAGCATCGCGCATGGCCCACAATGAGCGAAGAGTGGCGTCAGCATCAGCAGCAGGGGCAGGAGAGGCACCAGAGGTGAGGTCAAAGAGAGAGAGTCCGTCTGCCCTATCGCATTGTAAGAAAAGCTGCAGGTCATCTATCCAGACGTCTAAGTCAATGGCCCTACCCTCAGCGTCAAAAGCGAGGACACTAGGGGTAGCCATGACAGAAGCAGACTAGCAGCGCAAACAGTAGGGTAAGGGCAGTGTAGAGAAAGAGGCGTTGCTCTTATCGGACAGGGCGGCTCGAGCGGCTCGGCGGTGCGGGCGGCTCGGCTGCTGGGCGGCTCGGCTGCTGGGCGGCTCGGCTGCTGAGCGGCTCGGCTGCTGGGCGGCTCGGCTGCGGGGTGGCTCGGCTGCTGGGCAGCTCGGTTGCGGGGCGGCTCGGCTGCTGGGCGGCTCGGCTGCTGGGCGGCTCGGCTGCTGGGCGGCTCGGCTGCTGGGCGGCTCGGCTCCTGGGCGGCTCGGCTGCTGGGCGGCTCGGCTGCTGGGCGGCTCGTCGGTTCAGCAGCTGGGGCAGCTCGGGTGGCGGGCGGCGCTGGAGCAGGCGATGGGGCCGCAGGTAAGGGCGGTGGGGCCGCAGGTAAGGGCGGTTGGGCCGCAGGTAAGGTTGCGGGGCCGCAGGTAAGGTGGCGGGGCCGCAGATAAGAGCGGCGGGGCCGCTGGGTAAGGTGGCGGGGCCGCAGGTAAGGTGGTGGGGCCGCAGGTAAGGTGGCGGGGCCGCAGCAGCAGGCGACGGGGCCTCAGGTAAGGTGGCGGGGCCGCAGGTAAGGTGGCGGGGCTGCAGCAGCAAGCGACAGGGCCGCAGGTAAGGTGGCGGGGCCGCAGCAGCAGGCAACGGGGCCGCAGGTAAGGTGGCGGGGTCGCAGGTAAGGTGGCGGGGCCGCAGCAGCAGGCGACGGGGCCGCAGGTAAGGTGGCGGGGCCGCAGGAGCAGACGACGGGGCCGCAGGTAAGGTGGCGGGGCCGCAGCAGCAGGTGACGGGGCCGCAGGTAAGGTGGGGGGGCCGCAGGTAAGGTGGTGGGGCCGCAGCAGCGGGCGACGGGGCCACAGGTAAGGTGGCGGAGCCGCAGGTAAGGTGGCGACGGGCCGCGTAGGGCGGCGTCAGGCCGCGAAGGGCGGCGACGGGTAGAGTAAGGGCGGTGCGAGGGAGGCCGCTAGGGGTGACGCGACGGGGCCGAAGGAGGCCTAGGATGGGCGCGACGGTAGAGATGGCACACGAGGCGCGACTCAGGCCTAAGCGAAGTGCGCTCTGGGCAGGAAAAAAAAAATTCGACTTGGTGGGCCCTAGGAACAGTTCCCACGAGGGAACCTGCTCGATACCATGAGAAGAAATGAGAATGAATGAACTATGAATGAGTTGGGTACAAGTACTAACCCTAATTGGGTTGTACCCCATATAGGCTACCCCATTACAACCTACACAAAAGCATAAGCTATAATGTTCTGACAGCGGTTGGGCACAAGCTAGGATGGAGTGGAATGGAAGAAAGGCGTTCTGGACTTGAGTAACATGCAACATGGAAGATGAAAGCACCTTGACCGGCTACATAGAATCAGGCATACCCGGAGAGAGCCACTTGTGGAGGTCGCCGTTGGGCATGAACTCGTAAACAAGGACTTGCTCTGGGCGTGTCTTCATGTCCCCCCCCACCGCAAAGCCCAACAGCCTCACAATGTTGGGATGGTTCTCAAGAAAACTTTTTTGTGCTTGTATGAAGGAGAGATGGATGAGTGGTGAGGGATGCAATGCCCATATACGCCAAGAACAGAGTAACTCATCAAAGCTCATGTGCTGATAGATGTGATTCAAGTTACTGTGCTTGTAAGAAGGAGACACGGGTCCCAAAAAACCGGGGGAGGGAGGGAGGGAGGGGGGAGGGGAGGGGAGGAGGGGGAAGGGAAGACAGACGGGTATTGATGTGTCATCGGCTTACCCGTTGACGTCTGCGACGTTTTCTTCCTCAAGTAGAGTAAAAAAGCAGCGCAGAAAAGCAGAAGTATAAAGACTATGGCCGCAAATGCAATGCCAACTATGGCTCCAACTGATAGCCCACTTCCACTTTCATCTGCCGACAGGCTGCTGCTGCTGTTGGTGGTGGTGGTGGTGGTGGTGGTGGTGGTGGTGGTGGTGGTGGTGGTGGTGGTGGTGGTGGTGGTGGTGGTTGTGGTGCTGCTGCTGCTGCTGCTGCTGCTGCTGCTGCTGTTGCTGCTGCTGCTGCTCCTGGCTAGGGCCTCAGTGGGTGCTGCAGGTGCAAGGGACGTTGGGCATGAGGCGGGAAAGCAGTTGGAGAAGCATCAAACACATAAGAGGCACCAAACACATAAGAGGCTTATATGGAGCCGGGGCTCACAGGTGGAACCAGAAACGATTTTGACTGATGTAAACGTACGGCAATTTGACTGTACGACAGCGTGACTGTACGGCGACGTGACCGTACGGCAGTGTACTGTACGGCAAAAACGTGAGTGCACAACGGAGTGACAGTAAGCAATGTGCCAACAAGAATGAACTCGATGCCCATCCGCTAGAGAGCACATCACACGGATGGAATTCAGATTGCTTTTTGTCAATTGGAAGTTAGATTGATTTCTGTCAATTGGCATCAGATAGCTTTCTGTCAATTGGAGTCATATAGCCAAACATTCGGTTACGATGGCGCCCCAAACCGGGATTATTCACTGTATCGGGACGCCAGAAATGTCAAAGGCACTGTGGGCGAATGCCCCTTGAAATGTTTTTCATGTTTCACCATCCTCAAATAAATCCTCCTGTCAACCTATTGATGTGTTCTTTCTCTTTTTTCTCCCCTCCCCATACCTGCTGCCTACCACCCCTCCGCCTGCCTCCCCATACCTCCCACCTGCCCTCCCCATACCTCCCACCTGCCCCCCTCATACCTGCCGCCTGCCCTTCCCATACCTCCCACCTTCCCTCTATATACCTGCTGCCGGTTGTGGGGAGGGAGCGGGCGACGGGGGTGCTACAGGTGGCGGTGGTGGCACTGCAGCTGGTAGTAATAACACAAAAAGAAAGGCGGAAGGTGAGACAAGAGGAAGCAAAGGAAGGACCGGAAAGATCAAAGGAAGTAAAGACGAATTGAATCAAGTGTGTGAGAGGAGAGCGTGCGGTCGAGCAGGTGCTGACCGTTGGATGATAGTGCTAGAGATCAACGGTCAAGAATTTGGCTTTGCGTATTTACTCCACGTTGGTGGTCTAGTGAAGGGTATACACTAGCAATATCGCGACTTCATGCAATCAGGTTGGCATCTCCGTGAATCCAGCCAATTTGCACTCCATGCACTAGACACCATTGAAACACTAGTCGCATGCCCATCCCACCACACCCTCTCCCATCCATGCAAAAAAGGCAGAACAATTGATCCTGCATGCAACCAATCCACGTACCTTTGTTTGTGACAGATAGGCGGCAAACATTGCAGAGTGCAGGCGGCAGTGCATCAGCTTGCACTCACATGGTGCCGGCATGCTGCCTGTGGCTTTTGATTCGACTCAATGGTCAACTTGCAGAGCACAAAACGGACAGCAAGGCATGGGATTGGACACACTTGGTGCCGGCATGGAACGGACAGCAGGGCATGGGATTGGACTCACTTGGTGCCAGCATGGAATGGACAGCAGGGCATGGGAACTCTCTCTTCTAACCCTGTTGGCATGCAAACATCTTGTAATATCCCAATCAGAAAAAACAACACCCATCGTGCTTTTCACGCTCACAGAACTTTCAAAGAGGACAGGCTGCCAATGGAAGATGGAATAGATCCTGTGACGGTATTTCCACTGAGATCCCTGTGAGTGACAGAGGGATAAGTACAGAGAGAGAGGTTTTGAGTTCACTCAACAACAGTCAACTTGGAACAGAGCCACTGACGGTGTTTCCACTAAGATCCCTGTGAGTGACAGAGGATTAAACACAAAACAGAGAGGTACAGAGGGGTGCAAGAAATAGAGCATCAGAGAAAGGACGGCGCAAAGACGCAACAAAGCCTGTGACGGTATTTCTACCAATCCTGGGAGTGAGAGCAGGTTGGAAGAATGCGAGTGGTGGTACAGAGAGGTGCAGAGGTGCAAATTTGCGAGTGAAAATCCATGACAAGTGAGGTTAAGTGCACAGCAACCGCAAATTACATACGTGATCGCAGCATATAAATACATAGTATTGTCTACACGGGATGGCAGAATTCACAAACACATAGGTTTGTCCACACGTGATTGCAAAATTCAACACAGGCTATGTTGACGTGTACTGAACCGAGCATGCTCAAGTAGAGAAAGCTAAGGGGGGCTGGCTCTAGCGAGTGTTCACATTCATCGTGTAAGTTCTGGGTAAATCCTTGTTGAGGGTTGGCAGAGTAAAGCTGGCTGGCGATCTAAATCAAGATGTGTCTTAAAGCAAACACGCGCGAAGGAAAAGTGGCTAGCAAACTGGAGGCAAGTGATAAACCTTTGTCACAGCCCACTTGAATGCGTACTTCCGCGTTAATAATAATGTCAGCTTGTTGCCTGCTAGCCTGGAGTAAGAGGTTTCGAAATACATTTTGGGCTTACACTGGTGCTGAACTGACCTTAACCCTGATTGTGGTTAGATTAGAGCCCCTACAACCCCTTCCAAATGCTCACAACCATGGTTAGATTGCATGCTCACGAATGCTGGTCAGCCCACCAGTTATTGGCTACCCCAACGATCGTTTCGAACGATGGTCCCAATGTTGTTGATTGACCTTTGATCCCCTATGAATAACCTTCATCCCTTTTGGAAAATCCACGCTTTGCATTCTAAGTAGCATGTGGAGAGGTTGTGCAAATTTGAGCCGCTCACATGTATCCCATGTTGAGGAGGTTGAAAACGGATGTTGGCAGTAAGCCTGTCAAGTTGGCTTTTGAGGCGCCTCAAAAGTAAGGCACCTCAAAGGTTGTGAACGATCAAGCCGCTCACAAGTACTGCAAGTTGAGGAGGTTGAAAACGGATGCTGGCAGTGCGCCTGATAAGTTGGTGGTTCCAATGGACCTGAATACCAAACAGTAACAAAGATGTATGCGGAAATATTGAAAAAAAAAAGAACTGGAAGGCAAACTTGAATAGGCTTGAGCAAAGGGCGAACCGAACATGTTCGTGTTCGCTACTTGCCTTCACAGGCGAACA